GTTGGCAGGTGGCCGCACTTCTGTCAACCCCTGGCATCCTCGAGATTTTCTATGGTGCAGGCCGGGTTGAGACATGCCTTATCGACATTGATGATGAAGTCGCAGAAACTTGGTTGACGGAGTAAGCATCATCATGCCTGCCAGCGCTGCCGCCACAAGCACATCACCGTGCCTGCTCTTGTCCCCTTGTCCTCATGCTTGGCTGCATTATCCATACTGTTTTGTACGCAGCTACATTCTATGCTCCCCTGATGTTGAAGATAGAGACAAGCAAGAAGACCGTGGGAAATCATTGACTCAAGAAATCAGCTCTTCGGGGGTCAATTGCTTCAAACAGCCGCTTCCGAATGAAAAACTGGGTTACTGTTGAAGACCTTAGTTTAAGTTACTATATTGGAGAAAGCTTCTTATTTATTACATTCATATAGCAATTATGGTAACTTAATTTAAGTTCCTTAACAGCAACCCAGAAAAACTCCACTATATCCTGCATACCATGCTCTCAAAGTGACCAGGTTGGGTCGAGGAAGGTGATTGGCTGGTATTGCCAGAGGGCACTCCTTTTGAGTCAGGGCCTCAGTCTTGACACTGAAGATGGCTGAAAGGACGATGGGAGCATATGAGAACAAAGGCGAATCATGTGGATACTAGATACCCGTGTGAGACAGCATGGAAACCACAGTTTCCATTTCATGTTCCATGTTCTTTTCTACTTGATTCTCCATTATTCAGGCTAATGTGGATCATGCATGTCGTTCAACCGTTAACCCCCATAGGATCGCCGTGTCTCCTATCATGCTGCAAGGATCCAGCTGCCAGTCTTGTGAGGCTCGGTCAACGTGCAGTGGAAGGATTGCAGAGGGAGCAGCGGCGGCGGGCTACGGCAGGGTTGCCGAGTGGATGTGACTTTTGCAACATTTTTCAACCATGGACTTGACTGGCTTGGGGAGTTGATGAGCCAAGCATAGCCCATCTCCAAATCTGACAAAGACGTCCGTCTCCTTGTGTTGTGGCTCAGGTGCAGGCCACCGCCGAGAACCCGAACGAGCCGGGACCTTGGGCAAATCATTTATGAGGCTGGTCGCCGTGACCTCTTTCTGCCCGCATTTTGTGTATACTTCTCTTATGGGGCCGTTTCAACGTACTTCAACCTTGGGAAAAAAGAGTTCAGTTGGCAAGCAGCTCAGAAAGATCTAGTACCAGAAAGTACTTTGCACCCTAAACCCTAAACCCTAACAGATCTAGGCAGTCCTTTTGCTGCACGCCGAGGCGACGGTTCAACCCGTGGGATGGGAAGGTCTACACCTTCAAGGAGCCACATTGTGAGTGACGGACTAAATGGGGGTTTCCAAAAATTAGGGGTACCATTTTGGGGCACCTATAATAAGGACTGGGGTCCCCTTATTTTGGGAAACTACCAAATTTGGTTTGGGGGGACCTATAGGGGATTATATAGGGTTTTGAGGGGGACCTCTTAAGGGATATGCTGCAAATTTAGTCCAAGGCTCCAGATTAGGGCCCCACCTGCTCAAGGCAACGCAGAAGGACCTAAATGCATTTCTACCCTCTGGTTTGAAATTTGTGGTGAGGGCCATGCTTGCCAAATGCCGGCTGTAAGCCAGGGGGGTGGGGGGGCAAGAGCTAAGACAGACAGAATTCAGGGTTCTTCTTGGGACCTCCAACTTGAGCGAATAAACAGATCTAGGAGATTGCATTGGGATTCAAATGGGGATGCACTCTCCCTAAACCTATAGTCCCCCTCAAGTAGATAGAATAAGGGGTATATGGGAATCTTGTTAGAATATACCCAAAGCCATATTCTATCTACTTAAGGGGGACTATACACCCTGAGCCCTAAATAGTAGTTGGTCAACGGGTCATAGAACGCCGTGGCGTTTTATGGCATTGTTTAGATTTTTGGGTTTATTTCAAGATTTTAGTGTTTACTTGGGCGTTCTATGGCTCGTGTCCTGATTTAAACAATATATGTATTTGGACTTCGTCCATGGCCAAACCATACCGTGATGCGGAGATCAGAGCATCCATGCCCAAACCATAATGACGTTCGTAGTTTTGAGAGCCCACGGTGACCAGAGCATCCATGCCCAAACCATAACGACGTTCGTAGTTTCGAGAGCCTAC